ACTGCTGAGGAAAGAGTATGATAAAGAATTTTGAGTGGATTCAAAAGGTTAGCTGCTTTAGCCTTAGCAAAGCAACGTGCATTGTAGAAAGCTTTTCTCACTAAGTTCATCCCCCAAGGTTCTTTTTCATTTATTAGAGCATGACAGAATACATAGCTTAATAGAATCTAACATCCAGCATCTAAATTTTCCTTTCAAAAGAACATTTGAAACTCATTTACTTATATTTTCAAAGAATTTGTCAATCTGCACTACTTTACAATCGATTCTACAATGCATCTAAAAGGAAGAACAAATTCACAAATCACAACCTAGGCCAAAGAATAGTATAAGAAAAAATGACAAAAATAAAAGGACAGCATGCTCAAAAACACATCGTATTATGGTCATTTGTTTATGAAAGATGCAATAATATAGCCACCACCTTAATTTTAAGATGGAAATATCTGAAGCTGAAGAGTTGGGAAGGGAATCAAGCTCTCCAAATTTATCAATAAAAAGAGAAGTAGTGCAACAATATATGCAGATATGTTATAATTTAAGCTATTAAAAAGAAAAGAAATATACCTCAATAATAAGTCTGTAGCTTCATTCCAGATTTCACTTAGGTAACAATTGGCCTTGGTGGTTATAGCTGATGAATATGTGTAAGAAAAGTTAGCTTCCAACAATTAGAAGAAGAAGAAGAAGAAGAGGCTATCCTTGTTTGTCTCTACATCAGAGTGTGAGTTTGAGTGTAGGTTTTACCTCATAAGCATCTATTTCGACGAGAGGGATGGTACGGGTGAGAGACCAATATTCTCCTTTCTCCTCAAAGCGTTGTCTGTTTAGAAGCAGACAACCTGTGATGCTGAGAGAACCAAGCGACGGAGGTAGGCCTTCCCTTGGCAAGGATCGTAGCTTTGGGCACCACCAAATTTGTAAAGATTGAAGAGAGTTGAGGTTTTGGAGGAGCCCTCTAGGTATGGATTTCAGATTCTTTGCCTTTTCTATCCGTAGACATGTTAAAGAAGAAGGAAGCACAATATCTGGAGGAGGACACGTGTCACGAATGGCAAAGCTTTGAAGAGAGGTAAGATTGCGGAGGCCCCATTTCACTGCCGGTTGCTTCAGATGCTCACCGTCTAAGTCAAGTCGTGTTAAGTTTGGGGGAAAACCCCCATCTGGAATGGATTTGATGCCTGGACAATCTACTATCATTAGTTTTTGAATCGATGTAAGCTCATTCATTGTATTTGGTAGGGAGTTGAGATTCTGACAATTTGCTAATATAAGATCTGTTAAGTTTGGGGGAAAACCCCCATCTAGAATGCGCTCCAACCCTGGGCAACATACAATTGTCAAAGACCTAAGATTGGGCAAGGAGAGGCCCATTTCTGGGAAGAATTCTAAAACTGCACAACCCCAAATCTGCAAATCACGAAGATTGCTGAGGCCATCAAGTGATAAGCTTCTCAATACTTCACAATTCCAAATTACAAGGGATTCAAGTCCCGTACAATGTTGCAGCATCCTCTCTGGAAATGATTCCAACCTCTTGCAATCTTTACCAGTAAATTTCTTGAGAGAAGCTGGCAGATGACCACTCCCAACAGAATTTAGAGATGGAAGTTCCTCTATTATCAAAGATTCAAGATTGCTATTGCCGTCACCATCATCTTGCAATAATACTCCATCTGGTAAAGACTCAAAATTGACACATCCATTAATTGTCAAGTGTTTAACCATGGTGGTGGGTAAAGACTTGAGAGAATCACAATTGTAGATGCTTAATGATTCAAGTCTCAACATGTTGTTGCTGCTACTGCTTCCATCTACCTTCATCATCATCGCATCAGTTAATGACTCTAAAGCCTTGCAACTTGAAAGTATGAGATGTTTAAGATTGAAAGGAAGAAGGCCATGTTCTTTCCCCGTCAATGAAACAAGCAGAGGACAGCTCTCAATGTTCATTCGCTCAAGACGAGCAAGGTTTTCTATCTCGGCACCTTCCTCCCATAAACAAGTAAGCTCGAGGCATTCTTTAATCTCCACATACTCAACTGCTATCAAGGACTCAATAAAACTCCTAGCCAAGCAAACAAGTCCTGAAATTCTCTTAATTTCCAAGCTAGTAAGAGAGATGAGAGCAGCGAAGCTATTCAAAAAGGCCACATTGCAGTCTAGAATATTCAGCTTTTGTAGTGACTGAAGATTCATAGATGATGGGCATCTTAACTCTGGGCATCTGCTGATCACAAGTCTTATAAGACGAGACAAGTGGTTGGGTAATTGTCCTTTCAACTCAGGACAATTTATAATCACAAGCTCACGAAGACGTGGGAATCCTACTCCACCTCCTGTTGTAGAAGTCCATTCTTCCCACACTAACATGTCACGAAACTCCAAGCTCTCAAGAGATTGAAAAGTGCCATGCCCATAAAACTTAGAATCCACTGTTTCTATTGCATCCATGCCTTCCACAATCAATTCTTTGAGTCCTGGTAATTGCCCCAGTGATGGTAACGAAGTGCTTCTTCTACACTTGCACAGCTTCAAGTATGATAAATTAGAAAACAACGGACAACTAATCCAGGAGGGGAATTCCTTGCCACCATAGCAAATAATTGAGAGACTTTTCAATTTTAGATGTGGTTTTAACCAGCGAAGGACCTCCATTTCCTTGTCTTCATTCCTAGAACTGCGAAAATCAGAAGTCCATTGCAAGAGCAACCAATCAAGACCATCAATCTTACCCAGGCTGGCCTTCCTAGCATCATGAGCATTCGAAACATTATGCAAATCTAGAATAGATAGTTCCCCCTTGAGTTGTGAAAGGTTCTCTAAATCAGAGAGTTTAACTGATCCATTTTCCTTCCCCACAATGAATTTTCCCAATGTCAGAAGATCTCTGAGATTAGCTATTCCGGATGGCATCTCTTGTAAGGAATCTGTTCCCCTGAGGTCCAGATGATGGAGGTTAATTAAGTTCCCAATTGTCACAGGAAACTTTGAAAAGCTCTGACAATAGAATAACAACAATGTCTGTAACCGAAGGAGGAAAACTATTGATTCAGGTAGACTTTGAATCTTAGTTTCAGACAAATCAAGGTACTTTAAAAATTTTAAATCTTTGATTGAATCTGGTAGCTTTCTTATAAGATAACCCCGAAGAGATAATGCCCTTAAGCATCTTAATTCTGGTATCATATCAAGCACCACTATCTTTGATAAATGGCACATACCAGCTTCTGGATCAGCAGGAATGAGTGTCCGTAAACTCTTCACTTCTTTCAGAACTTCAAATTTATTGGAAATGTCCAAATAACCACAATAGAATGATAAATAACGGACTTTCTCAAATTGCACTTCAAATATCTTATCAACCTCAGACATATTCTCTAGCTTGTGGCATGTTCTTCCAGCAACAACTTGAGCCAAATCATGTATGAGATCATGCATTACATACTCTAATTCATTCCCACTAGACTGCTGAAAAAATGATCTTGAAAGTAACTCCTGAAAATATTGAAGCCCGATTTCTTCTAGTCTATTTCGATCCCTCAGTTTTTGCCTCAAGAGTCCCTCTGCCATCCACAACATAATTAACTCATCCTCCTTAAATGGGTAGTCTTTAGGGAACAAAGCACAATATGCAAAACATTGCTTCAAATAAGAAGGAAGATGATAGTAGCTCAGCATCAAGGGTGGCAAAATCCCGCTTTTGATATCATCCAAATTCAACATCTCACTTTTTGATATGTATTTCCAATATTCCAGGTCTTGATTTCCTCGTAAGAGGCCCCCGAGGAGTTTTGCAACCAACGGCAATCCTTTACATCTTTCCACAATTTCTTCACCAACTTCTTCTAAATATGGATGTGCATCAAAGTTATCTTCTCCCAGTGCATGTTGAGCAAAAATTGACAAGCATTGTTTGTAGTCTAACTCTTTTAGATAGTGAATCCTGTCATTCCCACCCATGATTTCTGCAACACGCTTGCTACGAGTTGTTACTACTATTTTGCTTCCAGCTGATCCTGATTGGAAAGGTTTTTGCAAGGTATCCCATTGTCTGTAACTCTCATTCCAAACATCATCTAAAACAAGTAGAAACTTCTTGCTTGATAACTCTTTCTTCAATTCTTCTTGAAGCAAATTCAAATCTCTCAAATCATGCTGGCGTCTAGATACTGCCTCCAAAATGGATCTTGTAATGCCTAACACATCAGATCGGTCAGAGACACAAACCCATGCCTTAAGCTCAAAGCTTCCTTGCCCCACTTCATTGTAAACATTTTTAGCCAAAGTGGTCTTGCCTATTCCTCCCATCCCAACAATAGGAATTACAGAATATCCTTGGGAACTGCTTTCATTATTTAGTAACTTTTGAAGAACAGCTACTTTATCAGTTTCTCGTCCATAAACATGAGAATCGGGTAGGGAACTAGTGGGCACCCTCGCAACATCTACTTTATCTGGCCGTTCTCCAGCTTGCATGGTTAAACTCAGTAAGCCGAGTATGTTTGATCTTTCTGTCATGCTTAGCAACCTATTAGAAATAGCCTTCACCTTAGAAATGGTGTTGGAATCAAACATGGAATCACTATGTTCGAAAGAAGAGAAGCACGCAAGGATGCATCTACTGGTAGTGCTGGCACATTGAGGTGCTGCAATCAAGCTACTCCTCAAGCCATTAGTCGTGAATTCCTCCAGAATGTCTTCCATATCATAAGCTAGGTCCTTGAGGTCATCAAGCCATGTCTTGATGGAATTGACAGCCCTTTGCTTTTCTTCTGCATCTATGAGCACATCCCGAATATGCGGTAAAAAGGACTTCCATTTTTGGAGCTCCACGTGGACCTCTTCTTGTAACCTATGGGATCTACTGGAAGTGAAATTATCCACCTTTTGGAGCAGCCACTCAAAAGAAGCTGATAATAGAGGGTGCACAACCATAGACCCGAGTTCCATTGTGTGGCACCGGTTAGTTGATCTATAAGGATGACAAAAAGAAATATTGATGAGAAGATTTTTTAAGATGAGAAGGGGTCCATGCTCAGCAATTATGGTTGCGTTTTGTTCCTTTTTAAGATTTATTATGAAGAGATTGTAGATTGGAGATGCGTGCTAACCATGTAAGAAACAAAAATGGAAGGATAGACATACCTTTTTCCCATTTTTTCTTTTACTTACGAGGTGAAATAGCCATGTGGTAGGAAAAAAGAACATACACGAAAGAAAATGAGAGTTTTATGGTGGAGAGACAGAGTTTGGAATGGAGGAATTTGAAACCAGACTACTCGAACTCAATAATGATGATTTTGACAAATAAAAGGGATTTGGTCATTGTCATTGGAAAGAGCAAGCCATTTTGAAAAAATAACAAAAGGAATATTGGTTGAAATATTGATTAAATTAATAAATTTATTAAAAAATTATATCTTTCAAT